AAGCCTCACATAATCTTATTGTGACAATAAGCAGATTAATTAAAATATAGTTGAGTGCAGTAGACAAATTAGTATGTTCTACATAAGTATTATTTGTCCATAGTTTCCTTTAAAATCGTCACTGAATATAATAAAAATTAGCCAAATGGATCACAGAATACCATTTTTTGATGACTTGATATGAGTTATTAGTGCTATTTTGTCTGATGCTTTTGAAGATATTACTTTTTCACCCTTTGAAATAGTGATTTGTTTCCCATTAAATTGTCCATTTTAACTCATATGTGGTGGTATCTCTTTTTTTTTTCAGTTTCAAAGTCAAAGTCATTTAATTATTATTTTTAATTGATTTTTTAAAAAAATGACAGCAGAATGCATTACAATTCTTATTACACATATTTAGCACAATTTTTCATATCTCTGGTTGTATATAAAGTATGTTGACACCAATTTGTGTCTTCATACATGTACTTTGGATAATGATGTCTATCACATCCCACCATCCTTGCTAACTCCCTACCCTGTCCCTTCCCCTCCTACCCCTCTGCCCTATCTAGAGTTCATCTATTCTTCCCATGCTCCCCCCTCCCTACCCCACTATGAATCAGCCTCCTTATATTAGAGAAAACATTCGGCATTTGTTTTAATGCTGCTGTTTCTTTTACCATGTTTAATTGCTATCTACACATCTTTGTTGAAGACTCTGAAAAGCTTTTGCCTACTTTTCTTTGGGTTGTTTTTTTATTACTAAATGTTGAAACTGCTTAGTATATTCTGGATACCCTTTTATTGGGTAGACATGCTGCAAATATTTTAGTCCCATCTGTAGCTTTGTTGTTCACTTTGTTAACTGTGTAGTTCATAGAGCAAAGTGTTTAATATTTAATTTCATTCAAAGTATCAAAATTTTCATTTGTGGAACATGTCTTTTTGTGAGTACAATTCACAATCTCTTTGCTGAAACCAAGGTCATATACTTTTGTCAAAGTTCACATTTTACCTTTAGTAGATGATTCAGTTTTTGAGTTAAATTTTGTATGAGCTTATGTGGAGACTTGTTATTGTCCTTTTGAATGCCTGATTGTTCCAGTAACATTTGTTGAAAAGACACTGTTTCCTCCACTGATTTGATTTTGCTTTCGATCCTTTGTTAAATAGCAATTGACCATGATATAAATCCAGTTCTGGACTATACCTTCTCTTTCATTACTCTATAATTTCACAACATCACTGACTGTTTTAATTACTATTGCATTATATAAGACAAAATATTCTTTATAAGTCCTCTACCTTCTTTTTTCCTTTTTAAAATTTTTAGACATAAAAGCATAGAAATTGTGCATATTAGTGGGGTAATGTGAGACTTCCATACGTATTTAAATTAAACACATCTATTTCCTCAAACATTTTTAAGAATTGTATTGATATTGTAGTCTCTTTGCCTTTTCATGTAACTTTTAGAACCAGCTTTTTTCAGAAATATTGACAGGCACAGTGGTTCATGCCTATAATCCCAGTGGCTTAGGAGGCTGAGGCAGGAGAATTCCAAGTTCAGAGCCAGCCTCAGCAACAGCAAGGTGCTAAGTAATTCAGTGAGATCCAGTCTCTAAATAAAATATAAAAAAGGGCTGAGGGATGTGGTTCAGTGGTTGAATATTCTTGAGTTCAATCACCTGTACCCACCCCCTAAAAAAAGAAACATGAAATACTGCTTGGTTCTTTATTGAGATTGAGATATACATACATATATATATGTATACATATATATATACATATATATATGTATGTGTATATGTAATACATATATGCATATATATAGGTTATCATAATATTATTGGGTTTCAATTCATAAATATATATCTGTATTTAGTTATGCCTTCTTTGAAACCTTACACCTTGGTTTTGTGGTTTCAGCATAAAGATCCTATCTGTATTTTGTTAGATATATAACTCATATTTTTAATGTCATTATTTTTTCTTGAGTGAGCTGTGGTAATCTGTGGCTTTCAATGACTTAATTAATTCACCTAAGTTGTTATATTCATTGACCTAAATCAAAATATTCCTTTTGTGTTCTTTTAATATACATAAAAATTAGTGAGGCCATTACTAGCATTGCTATTATTGGCAACTTGCATATTCTCTGTTTTATTTCTTTTGCTGTTTCCTGACAAATCTGTTTAAAAGTTTAATCAATTTTAGGGACCTTCTAAAATAACAGCTTCCAATTTTTATGTGTGTGTATGTGTATATGTATGTGTATATTCTATATATCATGTAAATTACATATAATAAATATATATTATGTGTATATGTTATATATTAAATATATCATGTATGAATATATAGTGTGTGTATAAACATAATATGTAATGTGTATATATTCTATATTATATGTAATATTTCTTTTTTCTGCTTTATTATTTTAGTTCAGATCTTTGTTTTTTCCTTTTGTCTGCACACTTCATATTCATTTTTTTCTTCTTTTGCTAATGTATTAAGATAGAGGCTAAAGTAATTTTTTTAAAAATATTTTTTAGTTATTGATAGACCTTTATTTTATTTATTTGTATGTGGTGCTGAGAATCGAACCCAATCATCATGCTTGTGAGGCAAGCACATTACCACTGAGCCACAACTCCAGCCCCCCACCCACCCCAGGCTAAAGTAATTGATGTGGAACCCTAATCCTTTCTGTACAGATATTTAGTGTCATCAATTCATTCCATAATGCTTCAGTGGCACTCCAGAATTTTGATATGGTTTGTACATTGATGTTTGGATGGAGACGAGTGAACATTACCCAAATAGTTTTGTGTGTATGTGGGATGGGAGGTAGATATTGACAAAATTGTTTTTTCTTTCACTTTTCTTCTATCTTCTGACTGAAGAAACAGGCTTTTCTTTGTCATTACTTCTTGGTGTTTGGGGTTGGAGACGTGGACAGTTACCTGGTTTTTGTTTTTATTCTTTGCAGTACTGGGGATTGAACCCAGGGCCTTCCCAAATGTTAGGCAAATGCTACATCCCCATCCTGGATCATCTGTTTTGAATTTTGCTTTGAAAAACTAAGTTTGTTTGAACATTTTTATCTGTTTTAGTGTTATTAACACTGGTTCAGGGAGCTTTTACTCTGGGACTAGTTTATTCAGAATATTAATAAGGCGACTTTACTAAATGATCTAGTCCAAGGCTCTTTCTACTCTTAAAAAAAAATTGAATTTCTTCCAATGTTTGAGTGCTCTGGAATCTTTGACCTTATTCTCCATTGGTTTTCTTCCCTCTGGTAGTTATTCTTTGTTGCCCAGTGTCATGGAATTTTGTCCTACAACATGTCAGCATTCAGCTAAAGTATTCAGGGGATTGCTGTGCAGATTTGTAGGTCTTTCACTCTATGATTTCTTCCTCTTTGGTTTTCTATCCTAAAAATTCTTGTGACCTCAATCTCCTTTAAAACACTGATTATTGTTTCCTTTGTTTATCAAAACTGCTATCTTTTGCTTGGATTCTTCCTGTCTGCTGTTTACAGGAGAACTCCTCCTGTTTTATCTCTGAGATTGTCCTCAGGTGGTGCTGCTTGTATTCCAGTCCGCAACAAAAACGATTTTGACTATTAGTTCAGTTTCTTCATTATTTGTGGCTGGAACTCTGTTTCCATTTATTATTCTTGCTTGGTCTTCATCAGTTTTATTTCTGTACAAAATCACTCTTGCTTGTTTACTTTGTCTCATTTGTTTTCCAATTGATTTCTGCTATTTTATTTCCCCAGAATTGATAATCATGTTGGCTTTTGTTTGCTTCTTTCTAATTTCTTAAAGTGAACAAATTATTGATTTTTATTCTTTAATAATGGAATTATAGCTATTTAATGCTAAATTTCCCTTTCAGCACTACTTAAGTGTCAGTTTATGTTTTATTTAATGATTTATTATCATTCAGTCAAACATATTTAATGTTTTTTTTAAATTTTTGTTTCCTTTTTAATCTATATACACATGAAGCTTTATTATGGGAAGAAACCTAATAACTGACAGATGTCAACTTTTAGTTTCAAGTTAAGTTATATGTAATTTGAGGAATCATCATTTTAGCCTGAGAACATCAAGAAATATGTTGCTCTTTGTCATCTTCTTTGAACTCTATGCATCCATTATGTTTTAAGCACACAATTATGATGACATTTTAAATTCTTGGAGCCAGTAGTAACTATGCTGACAGATTCTTTAAGATCATTACCTGATTTCAGGAACCCCAATTGGCTAGATGAGGCTTGGGTATTTTCAGATTTAAAGCAAGTCCTAAGGGAAAATAAACACATTGCCTATGGAGTTATGGCATGCTGTCGGATCCTGGATTCATTCATCCCCTAAATCCTTTAGCTAAATTTGTTTGTTTTTTGTTTTCAATATAAAAAATAAATCTTCATATGTTTAATTTTTAAAAATTTGAATTACTAGAGATATTTTTAAAGAACAACATGAAATCATGATGTTCCTTTTGATTTAACAAACTGTGAGGAAAGAGTATTTTCAACATTAAAGAGAATAATCTATTTTTAAAGCAGAGAGTTAAATTAATGCCTCTTGTAGGCCGAATACAAAGGATTGTTTTGGTTAGTAGGCTAAATAGTCCACGTAACTTTTTTTTTTTTGCCATATTTCTATCATGTAATGCATCCAAGGAAATCTAATTACATTATTGTAATTAGAATTACATTATTGTAATTAATTTTATTGAAACTTCTTATAATTTCTCAGAAAGGATTATAAATGTTTAATTGTAACCTTCTTACCAAAGGAAAACATTTCATAAAGGACCTTTATTTAATATCTTTGGAAAATCATTGCTTAATTTCTGTAGCACAATAACCTGGATGATTAATAATTATTCCAGAAATTTAGACACAAATGGCTCATTATTTTTTGCACTGTCATATTATTAGAGTCTTTATATAATTATATTACATGTGCTTGTCTTTTCCTTATCCTGTTCCCTTCTAGAAACATGTTCAAAAAATGATATAGAAATTAAGAATGGGTTTCTTTCTGAATCTGACTTTATATATAATCTAAATAAAGTAACACAATATAAGTGCAAACCAGGCTATGTAACTGAAGATGGTAACACATCGGGATCAATTACCTGCCTCCAAGATGGATGGTCAGCTCAACCCTCCTGTGTTAGTAAGTGGTTTATTATATTAGTATCATTATCCTGATGATATACAAACGTTAAACTTTATTCTTTCTTGATGTGACTATGTTTCATTTTAATAGGCAAACAAAAACATTTGATGAAAAGTATATGTCATCATTTTTTTTTCTCAGAATTGCTAGTATGGTAGAACATAAGTACATCTTTCCTCCCCTGACAGACATTTTAAAGAATACAATGATTTAGAAGTGACTCAGAGAGCTTCAGGTGTATTCTGGTGCTGACTCATTTATTTTAGCTGAGATCTTTGTCACTGTTAGGTATAACTGTGTTTTAGGTGGTCAACCTCTTATATCAAAGGCTTCGATCCCAGACATAAAAGTAATGTTCTTAGTGAAAATATGGAGCCTTGGTATATAACCTCAGAATATTTTAACCTTTATAACTTATATGTTTGACATTGTAAGATAGGTCTACTTCTGAAAAACCTCCCCCCTTAAACATCTGCATAAACATCTAGGTATTTGAAAGGAGGGAGTGTTTCAAGGTGATACCAGTTTTTGCTATGTTGAAAGATTTTCCTGCTATAATACCCAAGGTTAATGAAGATTTTCTAGGAATGATTATTTCTGTTTATCTTATTAAACTCAAAGTTATTCAGTAATATTTTGCAAGCAATACTTAACATACTTTAAATGACATGACTAAGATATTCATTCTTACTTCTTAATTTCTATTCCTTATTTTACAATTTCTATGCTTACAGCATCTAGCTAAAAAATGATACAAATTACTGCTTTATAAAACTCATCATATGCTAAATTCTGATAAATAATCCATTATGAAACTTTCTTATTAAGAAATAGAAAATCTTATTTAAAATACATTAATATTTTGTTAATCAATCCACACTTCTTCTATTATGTCACAACTACTAATAAGTCTGACATCTTAATTCTCAAAATGCCATTCCAGTCTTCTAAAACAAGTAATACATATTTATTTTATTACTAGCATTTATTACTATTTTATTACTAGCATAAGGTAAATGCTTAAATAAAATAGAATTTTAAAAAGTTTTTAAAGTGAACTTTTCAGAGAGTTTAAGTAATCAGAAAAAGGTTATGAAGGAACATTTTTAATTTATTGTAACTTTCAGAAAAATGACTTATCATTGGTCTTAGGCTATTTTTGTACAGTACTTAATTCTAATCACATATTTACTTATAAAGTCTGTGTTCTTGGGGTGAGATTTTCTAGTATTGTCATTTAAATTACAATAGAAATAAAATCCTCAATTTTATTATGCATTAGAATCTTGTGATATGCCAGCATTTGAGAATGCTAAAACCAAAAGTAACGCCACATGGTTTAAACTCAATGACAAGTTGGACTATGAATGTAATGTTGGGTTTGAAAACAGATTCAAGCGTGCCAAAGGATCCATAGTATGTCAGGACAATGGATGGTCACATATACCCACATGTTATGGTAAGTACTGTCTCAGAAATTTTTGTTTTTTGTTTTCAATATAAAAAAATAAATCGGCATGTGTTTAATTTTTAGAAATTTGAATTACCTATGTGAATTACCTATATTTTTAAAGAACAACATGAAATCATGATGTTCCTCCTGATTTAACAAACTGGGAGGAAGGAGTATTTTCAACATTAAAGATAATAATCTATTTTTAAAGCAGTGAGTTAAATTAATGCCTCTTGTAGGCCATATACAAAGGATTGTTTTGGTTAGTAGGCTAAATAGTCCATATAACTTTTTTTGCCATATTTCTGTCATGCAATGCAGCCAAGGAAATCTAATTACATTATTGTAGTTTCTTTGATATGTCCAATTAGAAGACTATAAACATGTGGTGGATTTGGCAATATGGGGCTCCTGTTGGATATCCTGGTAAGGGTTGCCAATAAGGCCATCCAATTTTGTAACAAGAGGAAGTAAAGAACATGGGTGTGTAAATCTAATGCTGAAAAGAATCAGAAACTGATGATTCTATTGTATTTTGAAGTATGAGACAAGGGCATTGAGATTGAATAGTGCATGAGGGAAAGAGGATGAGGAACACCGTGTAATGTTCAAAGGCTTAAATTTAAATGGTAGTAGAAGATACCACACCTTGAGACTTGATTGGCAGGATTGAGCATCCACTAAAATTTAATCCATTTGGGATATCAAGCAATTTCTTTTATAAGTTAGGGGAAAGTGATAAAAAAAAAACCCCACAAACTCAGTTCTGCTTTCTGGATTTTTCATTGCAGTATCAGAGAACCAATCCAAAATCCAATGAATTAAGGCACATAATAAACCAATTAATAAAAATAGTTTTAGTATGTTTTATATATGTGATTATAAGCAGATACATGCTGTGTGCAGCCAGAAGCTTTTACAATACTAAGTGTCCATCTTCAAAAAAGCCTGGTGCATTAGCTTAGTGCTGGAGTGCTTACCCAGCCCAAAGCCCTGGATTCAATCTCGAGCACTGAATGAGAGTTATGAATATATGATTCTCATTGCTTTTCCACTGTCACTAGACATGGAAAATGTGAAGATGTGCAGAAGAGAAGAGAAAGTAAGAGTGACAGAGATATAGCAATAGAAACGAATTCAGTCAAAGTAGCTTTTTATTGCGAATTTTATGAAGACTAATAATCACATTTCCAGGAGATGTAAGTCTCCATATATTGAGTGAATAAATGACAGCTTAGTATTTTTGCCTCAGCCATGTAGCATAAAACTGCACACAGATTGACAGATATACAACTTTATTTCAAATGTCTGGGAGTTCTTGTCTATGGGGAGATGTTTACATTAATATCCTAAACCGCTTAAGCAAAACAGACTTACAGAAATCTTAAAGTAGTAAACACCTTAGAGTAAAAATATCTATACTAACATTTCTGTTCATCAGCACTAAAATATATGATTTGAACTATTAGACAAAGACAAGTATTTCTCATCCAGGGTTTGTCCATTCACACTTCTCTTTAAACCACACATTTAGTTACTATCTCTGTATAGATATAGCAGTTTGATAGTACTCAACAGTCAAAATCATTTTTTTCTTGTTAAGGGCAATGCTTTCTATAATATGATGAAATAGAGAATTTATATAAAACAGCCTAAAATAAATATACACACACAAAAGAACTTTTAAGTTTGGGAAATTTTCTAATATTGCATTGAAGAGATTGTGCATTCCTTTGGTTTGTATCTCTGAGCTTTTATCTATCCCAATAAATTTTAAATTTTCAAGTTATCTCATATTTCTTGGAAGTTATGTTCAGGATATCTTAACATCTTTCTCCACAGTCAACTTTATTTTTAAGATTATATATTTTGTCTTCATTGCCTGAAACTCTGTCTTCCAAGTGGTCTAAAATGCTCATGATGCTTTCCATTGAATTTTTAATTTGGTTTATTGATTCCTTCATTTGGAGGATTTCTGCTTGATTTTTTTTCAGAATCTCTCTTTTTTGAAATGATCTTTTACTTCCTGTATTTTCTTTCTGATTTTACTTCTTATATTGTCTTTGCTTTGCAGATCAGTTTAACTATATATTTTCTAAATTCCTTCTCTGACATTTCTTCTACTGTGGTGTTGATGGATTCTGTTATTGAAATACCTTGGTTTGTTTGGGGCTATTTGTTCCCCTTGATTTTTCATGTTGTTTATGTATCTACCCATGGGACAATATGGCTCTGAGGCAGCAGAGTTTCTGCCTTGTGAACTTGTAGTGTCCCTGAAGGTTTCCAGTACCTCACTGTTTAAATGGGAGCAAATAATCACAATAACCAATGCAAACAATATATAGCTTTAAACCAGACAGTTCCTATTATGACATCTACAATGCTAAATGTCACAATAAACAGAAATTATATGATCAATTATCACCCACAGTAAAAACAGTATGTTTGCAAAAGGGTTTACAATTTCAAATAGTAGACTGGAGAGAACAAAAGTGATGTGGGATATGATGATTATGAGGGAGGGGGAGAGAAGATAGAAGTAAAAATTTAAAGGAAGAGTGGAAGGGAGGACAATGGAGATTGGCTGTTAGCAGAAGAAAAGAGAGAAAGAAAATAAAAAGAAACAGATAAGTGAGAAAAAATACATATATAAGGTAAAAATTTTTAAAATTAAAAACAAAATTAAAAGAATACAAAACAAAACTGAAATATAGTAATCAAACATCCTAGTCCTCAAAATACTGATCCATGAAAAGTAACTGGTTTCAAAAATGTTATAAATGAGGAAAAAAACACCAAATATGAATATGTATAAATGTCCATGAATAACTCAAGGTCACAATTTAACAAAGAAAAAAGGGAAAAAAAGATCTTGATGAATTAAAAATGGGAGTTCATAATCTGCTTGAATCAAATGTATGAAATATGATATGTCAAGAGCTTTGTAATGTTTTGAACAACTAATAATAAAAAAAGAAAAAAAAATAATGCTGTTAGTATGTAATAAAGATGTATTATTTTAACTATTGAAAAAAAAAAGAAAAATTAACAATTGTGTTTGCTGGAGTTCAAAAGATTCTTAGCTTCCCTTCTCAGCAGTGTTAGGTGGGATTGCTGGGGAGAGAGAGGTAATCCCATAGGTGGAACTCCTGAAGGCGGGTTTTAGATTTAGGTGGGTCTCTAGGTTCTTTACTGAATGCCAATTGGTCTGGAGACTTTAAATCATGCACCTCCAGGGATCAGCAATCGTCAATCCATGTTGGAAGACTGCACCCCAGGGATCTCCCCTGGGTTCCACTCATGTGGGTGAGAAGCCAATATTAAGTCCACTACATCACCTGTTGATTCCATGCTTCCTGGTCTTGGGTTCAGTCTCCAAACCCACTCTCTCCCACCTCACCCTTTTGAATTCCTAGCTAGGCATGTTTCTTCTAGTTGGTTCTGAAAGCAGCATGTTTAGAGGGAGAGGGGGAAAGCCAATTGGGTTTCCACAACCAGTTCTCCTCTGTGTAAACCTCTCTCCACATTTGATTTTCTCCTGGTCACTTAGACACACTTTATGTCATGAGTGTGGGTTTTCTAGGCCTGTATTTTGGGACAAACTCGGGTTTTTCAGGAATCAGCTCTCCTGGCTACTGGCCACCACACCATGGCTGCAAAATGGTTCTTTCCTCTGTCCTCTGCATAAAGTCTGGAGAGATGGTGGCTTCTTACCCACACAAGCATACTGTGAAGCACCCCATTCAGCTTAGTTGGGCAGTGTCTTTGATCTCTAAACTTTCTATATCTAGATAAGCCTCAAGTATACCCCAAATGTGGGCTCCTTTAATTCCTTTATCACTCCACTTTGGTCATGGAGGGACCACTGTGGCTGGTTCTTCCAGCTGTGGTAGTGGCTGTGGAGCTGGGGATTTCTTCCTTATTTTATTTTATACAACCTCTGAGTCCCTGATCTGCCTTGAATGTCGAGCATTAAATTCCAATAAAGCCTCCCCCAACCTTTTTTGTTTTATTTTGTTTTGTACACCCACCTTGCTAAGAAGCTACCTGTCTGCTTTCTTGGTTTCATGCCTTGGGCAGCCACAAGAGTGGCTTCTCTAGTCTGCCATCTTGAAACCCCCTCCAAAGACAAAATGACTTTAATGTAGACGATTGTAATATAATTCAAGGAGTGGAATCCCAGTGACTCTCCTTCAAGTGTAGTTTTTTTCTCAAGTAATCTGCAATACTCAAAAGAATTACAAAATTAATTGGGGTTCTGGGGATTGATTCCAGGTCCTCACACCTGCTAAGCATGAGCTTCATCCCCAGCCCCAGAGAAAAAACTTTTAGTTTTTAAAGCATTATTCTTAAAAATAGTTTTTATTGTACATTTAAATTTATAAATGTTTTGGTACTTGAATTTCGATAGTATACATTTTCTTTCTACCATGGTTCTAATTTTATAATTGCAGCCTTTAATTTTATGAATTTGTAAGGAAGAGGTATTCCAAATAAGAAAAATGATTTTTCAATGTTATTTGCTAGTGTTACCTACTTTTAAAAAATTAAAAAATGTGAGAGAATTTTATACAGTATTCCACATTTGAATTAAAATAACTAATAATCATTAATAAAAATTATAATAAAATAATTGAATATTAATGTAAGGATTCAACACACCTATCAGTTTGACTTTGAACTATTTCTTAGTTTGTTTTCTTTATTTGTAATATATTAATTATATAATTTTTTAATGTTACTCTAACTTCAAATACATTAGAGATGCTTTTTAATATAATCTATTTTCTCAATTATATTAAACAGAAAAGCCAGTTTTTTAAAAAATGTACAATTTAAAATTTATACAAAGCAGGTTGATTTAATATGAGAATAATTCCGTGTTTTAAGGGTACAAAAATATGACATAAATTTTACAAATATCAATAATAAGCCAGATTCAGTGAAAACTAGTTGAATTTGCAAGTTAAATTTCAGGACAGATATATTGCCATTCAATATCACCATATTTCTCAGAGTCCTAGATGAGTAAATTTAGGCAGTGAATAAAACTAATCTGTAACATTTTTTCCAGGAAGAGGATTTGTCTGATACTGTCCTGTATATGCATCACTGAACACCTACCTCATTTTAAAATGACAATGTAAAATGTAATTTGTCAATGATTATTTTATTTTTTATTTTAGAAAGGGAATGCAGGATTCCCAAAATGGGAAAATTCTTAATGGCTGATCCCAAGAAAGATAAATATAAAGTTGGAGATTTGTTGAAATTTTCCTGCCGATCAGGACTTACAAGAGTTGGACCAGATTCAGTACAATGCTACCATTTTGGATGGTCCCCGGATATCCCAATATGTAAAGGTGAATATTTATCTTTCTGTTGTAAATATGATGATTAGAATATTTAATATAAACCTTTTTTCTTTCTTCTATTAATTTTTTATTGGCTTCCACCGTATCTGTAATCTAATTAATGAAGTTGTTGATATGTGCTATGTGGCAGAAAGCACAACTAGTTTATTTAAGAATTTAATCACCAATTATTTCTTGAAATATGTATTGGGAGTATTCATACATACAAATATGGTGGCTGAGACTAGAGAGATTTACTTTGTTACTTTCCATTTTTCCTACACTGCTACCATTAATACTGGACATATTATATAGTACAGGACTTCTCTCAAGTTTCACAGAGTATATCTAAACAATACTTAAACAGTTTATAGTTAATTCAATGGAGTACATTAGAAAATCAGTTAAAGATGTTGATCAAATGCTTGTCTCATTGATGATACTTTCTCAAAAAATTATGATAAAATGTTACTATAGAATTAAAAATTAATATAATTTACACAACCACATTTGCTAACAGTTTGTATGTATCTTCAAAATATCTACATCATTGAAAATATTCAAAGCTTTAAAATATTTCCAATGTTACTATAGTAGAATTAATCCAATTTGGAAATATGAATATAATGTAAAAATTTATTTTTAATTAAGAATTTTACAATTAATCATATGAAAAAATGATCAATTAAAAAAGCATTCTCTCCATTTTTCTGGATTTTTTTACGTGCAAGATAGACTATTTAACCATTAACCATTGTTTCTACTATAGATCAAGTACAGTCATGTGGTCCACCTCCTCCACTATTCAATGGGGAAGTTAAAGAAACAAAGAAAGAAGAATATAGACACAATGTAGTAGTAGAATATAATTGCAATCCTAGATTTTTGATGAAGGGACCTAATAAAATTCAATGTGTTGATGGAACGTGGACAACCTTGCCAAAATGTATTGGTAATATATTAAAAATACTAAATTTAAACTGAAATATTTTTGTATTTATTTAAACATACATACTGTGTCTTCATTATCAACATGTATTTGTGAAATTTACATAGAGGAGGAGAGAACATGTGGAGCTATACCTGAACTTGACCATGGCTTTGCCCAGCCTTCTGACCCTCCTTATCACCATGGGGATTCAGTGGAGTTCAATTGTATAGAAACCTTTACAATGATTGGAGACAGATCAATTACATGTATTAGTGGAATGTGGACCCAACTTCCTCTGTGTGTTGGTAAGACTGCCCTCCTCAAATTCACACTTAATGAAGTTTAAGTTTTATGGAAAAGATATTTGCAATCTATTCATAAAATTAGAGATATTCTTGAAAAAAGTCTAGTCTTAACTATAATGAATTTTATTGCTCAGCATTTAATATGAATTTCCAGAAGAAATAAATAAAAGTAGTGATAGAATTTATTAATGTTTCTATCCCTATTAATATTATTTACCTTATAAGTGTAAAGCTAGATTTTACTTAATCACATGATTAAAATGTGAATATTCCTTTCCAAAAAATATGAGTATTCTACATAGATATTGTTGTTGTTCTATATGGCACTCTGTCTTTCAAGCCCCGGAAAACAAATAAAGTCCACAAAATACCCACTTGTTACTAGCTTTTCCTATAAGAATCTTTCTCTGTCAGAGATTCTGACAAGGATAAATTCTCAGTTTCAAAGTTAGCAAGCTGCAATCCCTAAAAAACAAATGCCAAATGTCTGCTTTGATATAAGGAGAGTAACTAAGATCAGAGTAGGGACGAAGAGCAGGAGAAGAAGATTAACATTTAACAGGGATGAGAGGTGGGAGGGAAAGGGAGAGAGAAGGGAAATTGCATGGTAATGGAAGGAGACCCTCAGGGTTATACAGTGGAGGGGGTAGAGAGAGAGGAGGGGAGGGGAGGGGAGAGGTGGGGAGGGGAGAGGTGGGGAGGGGGTAGAGAGAGAGGAGGGGAGGGGAGGGGAGAGGTGGGGAGGGGGGAGGGGGGAGGATGGGAAAGGCAGCGGAGCACAACAGACACTAGTATGGCAATATGTAAATCAATGGATGTGTAACTGATGTGATTCTGCAATCTGTGTATGGGGTGAAGGTGGGAGTTCATAACCCACTTGAATCAAAGTGTGGAATATGATATGTCAAGAAATTTGTAATGTTTTGAACAACCCACAATAAAAATTAAAAATACAAAGTTAGCAAGCTGAAGTTCATGAGCTGCAGCACAGGTGTTAGTAGTAACTTAGCAACATTACATATCTGGTGTTTGGCCAGAAATCAAATATCACTGATTGATTTCACACTTTCCCTGTTGGTGATCAAGCCTTTGATGACCAAAGGAAAGATTCTTCACTTTTCTCTTAGACTGAGTTCTTTCCTAGATTTCTCTGGGTCCTTCATTTTAAGTCTGTCCTGGGTATCCAGTCTTATTTATTCATTGGATTTCTAGACATAATTAATCTCAGAACAGAGTAGAGTTCCTCCAGAACAGGAATTACCTTTGTTTTGTTCTCATGACATTAAGATGGATTGACATACAGAAGCATTTATTAAGTTTTTGTCAAATGAAACAATAAATTATGTTGATTATTAACATTCTTTGCTAAACACATTTCTGTGAATAAAGTGTCTTCAATCCTTTTGGACCTCACCTTATCCTTGTCCTTTTTCATACACAAATGGTTTTATCTGATTTCATATGGGAGGAAAACTAATATTAGGCGGCAGAAACTCTCAACTTTTCATTTTAATTAAACTCAAAGTTGTGCTACAATTATTATTTCTTCTGATCTCAGAGTTTTTCATCCTGTGAGTCATCTTCTGCTAACTGCCTATAGTCTGCTTCATATAAGTCCTTCCAGCTCTCATAGTTTGGTCTATAATTCTACCCTTTCAATATTCATTTTGTACTTTCCACCACTCTAGCTTTTCATGCTTCTCAATATATTTATTTACTCCCAAAACCAAAGAAATCCTTTCAGAAACCGATCAAATCCAGGGCACAAACAGTTTCCCTTGACCAAAGATGTTCCTCTAGTTTCTACCTCTTGTTTTTCCTTTCTCAACACTGTGGACCAGCCCCAAGGATGAGACTAATTCTCAAGTACCTCATGTGCTTTTAAATTTCCCATTTCATTGTTTTTAAAGATTGGTTTACAAACTTACTGTGCTTTGGTAGTTACTGATTTTTCTTTGCTCTGTTTATCCTCACTTGACTCTGCTTTTCAAATTGTTAATAACAAATATTTACAGAGACCAATACAGACATTTTATCATTTTCAAAAAGAACTCTCATCTTCCCTGAGTTATTGAAATATATGGTACATTGAAAGCTTCTGTAGTACTTATTGAACTCATAACAGAGTCAGCAAAATTTTCTTGTTATGGTATTATAATATTATTTGATGGTAGTATGATCTGGTATACATAATAGTTTCTTAAAGACTCTAAGAATGGAAAAAGAGAGATTATGATTTTAAAGCACCTGATTTCTTTTTTACTTTTTCTTTTTTATGATGTAGGGATTGAACTTAGAGCCTGGAAATGACAGGAAAGCCTCTACCACCAAGCTACACTTCTAATGAAAGCACACAATTTCTTATTCCAAGTATTTCCTCTCTCTCTCAGATCATATAACAAATCTGCTTAACTATTCATGTCCTATAAAATATATTTTAGATAGATTTTATTATATTATGTTACTACTCTCAAAAATATGTTTAAATGAACAACTTGTTATATTACATTTCCATAGATGATGTTTTTATTTTAATATTTAAGGATTCTAGATTATAGATAATATAGTGGTGGTTGCAATTAGGAAAACAAATGAATATGAATCTTTTACACAGGTTTCAAATATGGGACCAAATCTAGTGTTTTTAATTTTTTTTCCAAATTTAGTTCTTTGATAACTATTTAGTATGCAAATCTTCTGAGAAAATGAGTCTCTTGTGCTCTTTCAGTTACCAAAGTACAAAATATCTTTATGACAGGTATTCTCTATAATAGTTCAAAGATAGGACATAAATGCCATCTCATGCAGTGGTGACCAAGAATAATTTGGTTGATAGAATTTAAAGGCACAAATCAAAATTTCATTTGACATTGACTGTACAGCTACTTTATATTGACTTGATTCTTATAATTGGTCTTTTCATGGAAATATTTTCATTTTATAGCAACAGATCAACTTGAGAAGTGTCAAGCACCAAGACTAACTGCAAATGAAGCAAATCAATCAGATAAAAATGAATATAATCATAATTTTAACTTCAGTTACCCATGTAGGGGAAAGTTGGAGCAGAAACATTCAATCTGTGTCAATGGACGATGGGACCCTGAACCAACCTGCACAAGTAAGTTCTTGTGTACAATGTTTTCTAAAATTCATTACATTTTTCCTCACTTATAGAAGTAGTATTTTGTGTTTTTTAAAAATTTAGCTATGTGTTGATATAATTTCTTTTGAAGTTGGAAGGTAATTTTTGTCTCTATCTGCCTTGAAAATTCTGGGTTGTATTGACACTTGCAATTCCAATTGAATAGCAAAGAGCATTCTAGTCTTTCAGTTTTTTATATCTTTTTCTCTATAATTATAAGGACTAGCTTCAATAGTTTTGAAATTCTGCCATACCAATATATAGGAAGTATGGCCATACCAATTTAAAAAAGAAATGTAAGGCATATATTTTAACTTGATAATTTTCTTTCTCTATTTTATTTTGGTAGTATTTATTTATTTATTTATGTTTGCATTACAATTCTTAATACACAATTATATCATAATTTATCATATCTCTGATTATATATAATATATGTTGAGATAATTTTTTTAAAAGGAAACAATTTACATGCAGTGAAGAACACATGTTCTTTTACATTTTCTTCCTGAAGCTTTATAGCTTTATAGTACTAGAATTTAGTTTTATCACCTTATATTAATTTTGAGTACAAGATTAAGTAGCAGTTGTTTTTTTTCTCTGTATGGATAGCCAGTTGTTCAAGCAATATGTATGAAAAAGAATCAATTATTATGAAAGTACTGATTTATTTCAGCACTCTTCATTCAATATTTTACCATAAGTGTCATGTTATTTTGGGATTTACATAGGTGCTGTTTATCAAATTGAGGGGGTTTCTTTCTGTTCCTAGTTAGCTGAGAAATTTTGATCATTGGGGGGTGTTGAATAAATGCTAAATACATTTTCTTTATTGATAATACAGTGAATTTTACATGTTTGTGTGCACACATACATATAAAAATCTTAAATCTTTCATTCTATTTTAAAAAACATTTATGCTTTTAGTTGTAGATGGATACATATTTTATTTTTATATGGTGCTGAGGATTGAACCCAGTGCCTCACGTATGCTAGGCGAGTGCTCTGCCTCTAAGCCACAACTGCAGCCCTTAAATCTTTCATTCTTGAGGAAAAACTCTACTCGTACATGATGTGATGTAATTCTCAGTTCTACTGTGCTGAATTGTATGTTTGGGCAAGTTATATTTTCATTTCCATGTGTCTCAAGATACTATCTAAATTTTCTTTTGATTTCTTCTTTGGCTTATTGCTTATTTTTATGTTTTAGATAAGTTGTCCCCAAAAAAACCCATGTGTGTGAAATGCAGGAATGTTCAGAGGTGATATGATTAGGTAATGAGAGCTGTAACCTAATCAGTGGATTAATCCATTTAATGGATTATTAATATGAAAAAACTACTGACTGTACTGTACTGTACTGTACTTCCAGCTTAAAAAGAATTTATATAGGCATGTGACTAAAAACAGGTAAGATATGACTGGAGGAGGCACATCACTGGGGGCATGTCTTTGAGCATTTGAAGTATATTCCATCGCATCATGACTTTGAGACAATTGACACAAAATTTCAGAAAATTCAGAGCATTTGACACAAGCTCCACTCTTCTTTTTTTTGCCCAATAAAAGCCTGGAAACTGGACTTTATTATCAATTGTGTAGCTCTGTGCTGGGGGAGAGGATATGGAAAGATATGAATTTTCCTACTGGCTTTGATGCATTTGTTTAGGGCTCACCTGGCATTAAGAGCCTTTCAACCACTTTGTAGATTTCTCTCAAAGAGAATTGGTTCATGTATTGTTGACCAGTGTCTATGGGGAAAAGGAGGATTGAGGATTCCTGATCTGTCACTCCTTTGTTACATTCTTGATATGTTGTGCTCTATCATGATTCTTTATCATTTTTCTGTTAATCAGCTTTTCATTGCTGTGATGAAAATACCTGAGAACAGCTTAGGGAAGGAAAAGTTTATTTGGGGCTCACAGTTTCAGAGGTTCAGTTCATGGTTGGCCAAATCCATTGCTCTGAGCCTGAGATGAGGCAGGGTATCATAGCAGAGGAGAATTGCTTAAATCATGATAGCTTGGAAGCAAAGAGTGGGGAGCCACAGGGATGGTGAACATCCTTTTAGGGCATATTCCTAGTGACACACCTCCCCCACCTTTCTACAGTTACCATTTAGTCCACTCAAACTGGAATGGTTTGATTAGGATAGAGCTGTCACATATCATTTCACCTCTGAACATTTCTGCATCAACATAGGAAGTTTGGGGCCAAATCATAACAGTTTTTTTTTCAATTTTATTAATAATTTTAGTAACCAACTTTAACACCCTATTTTTTCCATTTTCTCTCATTCAGATTTAGATTTTTAAAGTTTCAAATTTAAGCTTTGATAACTTTCTCTCTTCTCTGTTTTTAATTTTGTCAATTTTCTGTTTATTGTTTTCTTCCTTCTAAAGACTTTGAGTTTAATTTTATTATTACCATTCACCTTTATTTTATTCATTTTTTCTGTGCATGGTGTTGGGGATATAATCCAGGGCCTTGCACCTCCATCACTAGGCAAGCATTTTATGACTGAGCTAAATTAATAGACCACTGCTACCATTTTAAGTTAGTAATTAATGTGTGAATTTCAATCATCATACATTTGAAATAAAAACTTCAAATTTCCACTTTTTAAAGACCTGCCTTAGCTGTGTCCCACAGTGAGACATATAAATATGTTTATGAATATCTATGTATTTTATTTTATTTAAAATGTATTTATTTATAAACTCAAATTATGTATATATATTATATATAATTTATATTTAATTTGTATTCCCTTTGAAATATATTCTGATTTTCCTTGTGATTTATCCTTTAGATCAACAATTATTATTTTGAAGTGTGCTCTTTCATTTCCAAATATTTATTTTCTGTAGATAACTTATTCTTATCAGACTGTGTAGTTATTTAATTCTGTTCTCTGGAAACTATGCAATATTTCAGTACTATGATTTTTTTTAAAAAAATTTGACTGTATGTTCTCTATTTTATTTATAGCTCCATTTTCACATAAAAATATGCATATATGGGACTGGGGCTGTGGCTCAGCAGTAGAGCACTTGTGTGTGAGGCCCTGGGTTCGATGCTCAGCATCACATAAAATAAATAAATAAATAAAATAAAGATATTGTGTTCAACTACAACTAAAAAATAAATATTTTTTAAAAATATGCATATATTCTAGTTGTAATATAAGGTTAAAGTGAATAGTGGTTTTCAAATTTATCCATATTGTTTCAAAACTTTACCTATTTTTTCAGTAAGTCATAGCATGAATGGTGTCAATATTGATATGTAGGATTAGGGATTTGCCTTTTTCTTCTTTATTTCTGTCTATTTTTTAGGTATTTTGATATTTTTAGACATATGTTCAACATTTGTTTGGACTTGTGAAGTAACCCTTTTATAGTTATAAAATATTTATTTCCAAGTTTTTAAACACTTACCCTAAGGTATACACTATCTACTTTTAAGGTAGCCAGGTCATTAAAAAACTAATCATATCTGTGTGATAAAGGAAATCTAGATGAATTTTAAATAATCAACTTCCTAAAGTATTTTCTCTAAACTAAAAGTAAAAATTAAAGTAATGAAAGTGCTAATTAGATATCTTGAATGCTCATCTTGCAAATTTGGAAAATTTGGAAAACAAACAACTTCATTATCAATTATTTATTACCAAAAATTACTCTAAATTAAATGACAGTAATTGTAGTATAAACTGAAATCTATGGAACAGATTTAATACAGATATACTTACAGCATTAAAACATACATTAGAAAACAAAGAACAAAATAAAAGCATATATAAAACAATCTAGAAGCCAAAAAAGAACATACATAAGGAAAATAGGAAGAATAATTAAACATTATTAATAATTGAGGAAAATAAATTTATGAAAATATATAATGAAAACATTGAGAAATATGTCAAAATATTTAAGAATAGAAATTAGAAAACATTAGTGATAAAATGTGATTATATTGCCTTAAACAAAAACAGAAACCTTGGAGTAAATAATAATCATGAATCAAGTTTATTCAGTAAACTATCTCCAGGAGCTATTAACAGCATAACACACATTTGAAAAGATTTACAGTATTTCCTAGTGTACACTTGCCTAAGGCTTTTAATGAACTAAAAAATACAGTAAAATAGGAGAAAGCAAGCTCAAGAAATCAGAAGTCCAATTGCTTTCAGATTCATCCAGAGCCCTCCCCCAGTCAAAAGGGACATAGTTCATCTTCACATTATAAACCATCAAGATATATCTGAGGAATTTAGCTTTATGGGAACTGAGATATAAGTTTGCAAAGGGGTATTTTATACCCTACTAATTGTGTAACTACAGTTAAACTGTGTAGTCATTAAACTGGATATATACCCTCAATTTATATACCCCTAGGCAATGTGAGTGTGCTTCTAAATGGTAAGTTCAGGAAGGTTGAAACTTCAAATGGCACACTGTAAATTATTTGTAATTATGGTTAATGATCTAGAAGCAATACAAATTGTTTGTTAACTGACTGCAAATTTTTACTCTTGTTAATCAGCTTCTGTTGGTAGATTTCAAAAGGGTTTTATTATAGTCCCAATACATTTGTTCATGTATATTTCTAAAATCACCTTCATTGCATACTTTATTTAATACTTGTGATTAAAAATGTATTAATCAGTTAAGATTATCTAAAGAGTACAAATAATAAGTTTCTTGTAAATAAAGGAGTTTGCTTAAAAAAGAAGAAATGGGAGGACCATCAAAATAGGTAATATTAACTGCCATCCAAATTGAAAAGTATAACATATATATAAATATGGAACATAATTACATCATAATTTTGTGATACATAGTTATTGAATTTTCTATTTTTTGTAAAGTATTTTAATATATGTAAATTACTATTTTTTATTCAAGAAACCTAATTTTAATATTTTCTAGAAGTGGAGATAAACTTCTGCCCACCTCCACCTCAGATTCCCAATGCTGAAGATATGAAAACCACAGTGAAATATCAGGATGGAGAAAAAGTATCTGTTCTTTGCAAAGAAAATTATCTGATTAAGGAAGCAGAAGAAATTGTGTGCAAAAATGGAAGATGGCAGTCAATACCACGCTGTGTTGGTCAGTAGTGTGCAATTTGCTTTATAACATGCTTTCAGTTGAAGTTAATAATCCCCTCTGCTTTATGTAAATGAAAAAGATGAGGACCTTTTCTATTTCTCTATCTATTACACTTGATACTAAAACTGTAAGTTATGATCTAGGTTCATAAACCAGTCACCATCTTTCATTTGTGTCAACAAAATTGGACAACACTTTGGGATATTATGTAACTAGCAGATAAATTCCTATTTATGAATATTTTTCATATAATATAAGAGACACAAATCAAGGGAGATATTGGGCAAGAGGATAGCACAGATGTTTTGATGACAGGCTTAAATAGTACTTGATTTTAGTTTTAATTTAAACATTTTATTTATCTTTGACCCTTTGATTTCTGTTTTTCATACAGAAAAACTTTCATGTTCTCAACCACCTGACATAGACCATGGAAGAATTAGTCCATCTAGATTTTCAGAAGAAAGGAAAGAAGCAATTGAATCCAGACAGTATGCACATGGCACTAAACTGAATTATAGTTGTGAAGATGGTTTCACAACCTCTGAGGAAGATGAGATAACATGCTACATGGGCAAATGGAGTCCTCCACCTCAGTGTGTAGGTGAGGACTGCATGAAAACTCGAATTCTGATTTGAGAATACAAATACTTAAATAATTGAGAGTACAAATAATTGAATATAATATGCTTTTGTCAAAGTCAGGGTATAGAATAATATAGATTATCATATGTATTTAATCATTTAAATACTTTACCATTAAAATACTATTGCATTATTGAATCAATTCTATTTTTATTAATTTTATTGGTTCATTATAGAGTCAGTTTTTAATTTGGCATTTCTTTTTAAAAGAATATAACATGTAGTGAATTTAAATTTATGTAACTTGTAGTGTTTGCTTTGCAAACAAGATTTTAAATATTTTAAAAATATTTTTCTTACAGTGTTCCTTCTGATGTCTTACAATACTTGGTAAATCCATTTCATCAATTTATTCAATGTTATTAATTCTGAGTATGTTTCTGTTTTTCACTCATGGTTGATTAGAGAAGCTCTGGTGATCTCTTAAAAGCATCAACATTTTTTATTTCAATTTCTTGCTCATGTTTTTACAGTTTGAGAGGTGGACATACATGAGAAAAGTGGACTTAAGAAGCCTTTATGCACATTCTCTGTGACTTTATAATAGCTTATTTATTATTATTTCTTTTCAAAAACTGTGAAATATCAAAATTGACCTATAAAATTGAATTTCTGAGTTGTAAAACATGGATTCATTCTTTCATTATTTTATTTTTTAGGACTTCCTTGTGAACCTCCACCTTCCATTCCTAATGGTGTTGTGTCTCATGAGTTAGACAGTTACCCATATGGACAAGAAGTTATTTACAATTGTTCTGAAGATTTTGGGATTGATGGACCTGCATTTATAAAATGTTTAGGAGGAAAATGGTCGTCCCCGCCAGAATGCATAAGTACAGTGTATTTAATTTTATAATATGTGTGATAGATTCCCTCATTCAAAGTATAAGTGGTACAAATAAAAAAGTAAGCTGTTATTCTAGAATTTTACAAGGTACCTGAAGTTTCTTGAGTTTGGCAGAGAATTATAACCTAGTAATTAAAAAATGTTTGACAGTAAGAACCAAATTGTTTCATTGTCACATCATTTTGTGTAAACATTTAGCATCCTCTAATGTACATTCTCAGAATTCTTATCTCTCTCTGTTCCTAGAAAAACTGGCCCCTACTCATCCATCTCATGCTCAGTTCATCACCAATGTCACTACAAAATACATATTTCATAAAACTTTGAAATAATTATTGTAAGTAATTCACATTTGCAGAAGCCAAAAGTAGAAATACATAAATTTACATGTGGCAAGTGTGGGCAAAAAAATAATTTGAATGTAAAAATCTGATCTAAAGCATTAGAACTACTAATATTTCTTCAAGCATCATTCTTATCTTGTATGTTTGATAAATTTAGAACAGTTCAATTGAAGTCAAAACATCATATTTTGCCAAGGTGTAAGAAGTATATTATTCATTATTCATTTGTTCTATAGGTAGCTAAGTATTATTTTAGAATATTACTATTAAATATTACATATGTTTTAAATTTAGTGAACAAATACATGTTTTTTTCTTTCAGGAACAGATTGTTTTAATTTACCCAACTTTGATGATGCCACGCTTTTAGGAGAAAGGAAAGAATCATATAAGTCAGGAGATCAAGTGACTTACAGATGTCCAAAATTTTACCAAGTGGAAGGGTCTAATACTATAACATGTATTAATGGCAAATGGATAGGAAAGCCAATGTGCAAAGGTACGTTGATGGCATTATAAATTTATGTATAGTGTCTTATGAAATATTAAATTTTCTATACCATTCTTAAAAATGAGTATAGGTTAATTTTCAGGCCAAGACAAAGTAAGTTTAAGATTAGAAATAATCTAATTATTTAGGTTGGAATTAAATATATAGTGGTTAATCTCACAGTTCAATGTATACCAAAGAGTTCTCAGAGTGTGGTCCCTAGACCAGCAGCATCAAATTTTGAACAGATTTTTATGAATTCAAATGAAAATTCCTGAGGTCATCTTAGGCCTACTGGAAAAAATAATCTTGAGATATGACTTGAAATTATTCATCAAGTTCCCCAAAAGATTTTACATACTCCTCAATTTGGGAACCATTGCTATAGTCTATCATTACTAACCATGCACCTAAAACTCTCTGAGGAATTACACATAGTTCATCATAGTATCCAAAAGCACTTATAAATAAATTTAAAAAGCTATGTTTCTATAAATATAGTTGTACTTTTCTGTTACTTTCCCACATCTTTAGTTTTTTAATTGATAATCTTCCTCTTTTTTAAAGATTTACTTAACTATTTTTTTTTTGCTTTTATTGGTGCATTATCGTTGTACATAACATCTTTAAACTGTGTTTTAAGAATAACAAATTATTCTTCAAACTATGTTTTTAATTATTGACTTATTCTCTAAAGAGAGGCATCTTTCAGTTTTTATTTTAAGAGGCTAAAATATTAATTAAAGAGCAAGATAATTGTATACCAAAGAGTGATGCTATATAATCTTGTTACTCTTATTTTTTGTTGAATTTTAAAATTCGTGTTGCACTTATGGACTTTGTAATATTTGTTGTACTCAACTCAAGGGGAAATATTTCATTCTCAGTGGCTTTTAAGGGGTTAAAATATCTATCAGTGTTCTAGTGAAGGATATCGAAGAGATTTAAAGGCATGAAAGGTTAGCTCTGACAAAAAAATATTGCTATATCTTCTTTTCCTTGTATTACATGTGAATTTATTAAAATCAGAAAAGTTCTTCATGACAAAGTATCTATTAATCTTCAATCCAATTTAAAATGTATTCAGAATCTTATTCATTGTTTAGCTACTCAAAATGAACACTAGGTGGAGATACTTTCTTTTCTTTCTATTCAGATATTTCCTGTGTGAATCCACCCAAAGTGGAAAATGCTAATATAATATCAAACCAGATGCTTAAGTATCCGTCTGGTGAGAGAGTACGTTATGAATGTATCAAACCTTTTGAAATATTTGGCGAAGTAGAAGTGATGTGTCTAAATGGAACTTGGACAGAGCCACCTCAGTGCAAAGGTAGAAGATCATATTTTCTAATTTTTCTTTGCTTGAGGACATAATGTGAGTAAAATATGTTGATAAAAATAAAGTCAAGTAATTCTTAGGGATTATATTTTTTCAAATGCAAACAATATGATATTGCTAAAGATTTATTTTCTGGCAAAATGAACTAAGAAATATGGTGTATTTTTTTCAAGACACATTTAACCAGATTAATAGAACAGTTACAATCTGAGAAAATTCCTCATCTTAAACGTTAAGACACTCAGTACATTTTTGACAACTCCAAGAGATATCTACTTTGAGAAACAGAAAATAGGTCATTGAAGACTGATCATAGAATATAAATATACATTTGGGCATCTTCAGTATATAGAGTATATTTGAAAATATGTGACTGAGGCCAGCCAGGGAATCACTATATTTATAAAAATAAGTTTGGATATTAGGTCATTAGCATTCTAATATTCAGAATTCAGGAAATGAATAATGGAGATATTATATCATCCATTTCTATTTTTAAAAATTAATTTTTCCTAATTTATTTTCTCTCACTTTACTTTGATTCTACCTTTGGCTAATGGTGAAGTCAGTTTTATGTAAACCACAGAATTAGGTCTCCTTTACATGTCTATCTTGCCCTACTTGCTCTTTCCTCTAGTATATTTAGATCATTTATATTTAAAATAAATATTGGGCTTTCTGTTTCTTGTTTTATTTGTTTATTTTCTCTATTTCTCATTCTTGTTTCTGATATCTTCCATTATTTTCAGGGAACAGTTTAAAAGAATTTCATTTTGATTTATCTTCCTGGTTTTGAGTGTATCTCTATGATAGCTTATCCCACTACCTTTCTTTTTAAAAATATTGCTTTAGGAATTACAATATATACATAATATATTTGCAACTTACCACTCTACTAGTAATGGCATTTCATTTTCAATCAAAACATGAGAATCTTGTTTCCATTTAAATCCATTTACCCTTTAGTATGTCCTGTTCATACAGTGAACATTGTTACCAAATGATATAATTTTCTTTCAAACATCAAACATAAATAAACATAAATGAACAAACTGAGGAGGAAAAAGTCTATTATATTATATATTCTTCCTTTTAGCAATTACAGGAGCGAGAAAATGATACTTAATTGCTAAAAGGAAGAATATATAATATAATAGACTTTTTCCTCCTTAGTTTGTTCATTTGTTTGATAACTCAATTATCCTTTCTTCCTTCTTTCTCCAACATTTTCTTTTCCTCTAAAGGTCTCTGAAGTTTGATTCATTGATTGATTTTTTCAGTCTATTTTCACACTGGGTAATTTATGTTGTTATATCTTGAAGTGCATGGATTTATCCTTCTGTCATCCTCAAACTGTTCAGTCTGTACAGTGAGACATTTTGTTTTGTTTTTAATTTGTTATATTTATCTGTTCTAAACCCTACTGAGCTTTTAAGAAACATTGACTGTCAATATCTTTATCACATCAGTATTCTCTTTTATTATCTTTTTGTTTTTAAATGTTCTGATCCTTAATATGATGAGTAATTTTTAATTTTACACTTGATATTTTAGGTATTACATTTGAGACACCCCCCCCCATTTTATTTAAATTTCAGTGGTTCTCCATTACAGCCATGCTGGATTTAAGTCCAGGTTTCACATTCGGCCTCTACAGGCATACAGGATCTCTTCTGCCACCCCTATATGTGGGTGGTATCTGGTCATCAGTGACTTATGATGTTTTTATTATTTTCTCTAGATTAGGTCATGTATTGTTTTAAAGATCTCGTAGACTAGCAAGGCTGCTCCCTTCCTTGTCCTTAGGTTAAAGGGATGAGACTCTGCATGAGCTTTTCCTTATTTATCTCTACCTTATATCATTTCTGAGATTACCAGCCTTCTCCAGTGCTCCATCTAGAACACACAGGAGCCCCAAAGTGAACTCATATAGCAACCTGTTTGCCATTCCTTGAGTCCTGAAGTTCCTAGCCAGAGTGAATTCTCTGCACCTTCTAGAGTCTTCTTATATTGGGATTTAAAATTTATTATGTCCAAGATTATAAATAATGCTTAGCAAAAGGGGAAGGGAGGGGTCTTGGGGATAGGAAAGACAGTGGAAAGAGATGGACATCATTACCCTAAGTACATGTATGAAGACAAGAATGGTGTGTCTCTACTTTGTATATAGAGATATGAAAAATTATTCTCTATATGTGTCATATGAATTGTAATGTATTCTGCTGTCATATATAACAAATCAATATTTTTAAAAAACTCCAACATACAAAACCTGAAAAAAAGGAATAGGTGACAATGATTTTTACTCATCTTGTCCAGATTAGGAAGGCAATATTTCCCTATTATTTTCTACAAATTTACTTCCTTTGAACTTTTTTCAAGGAGTTTTTATTTCTTTTGTAATAAAAAGGAAAATTAAAAAGAAGTCAGAAGGGACACAATAAATACTGCGCAATGTCCTATATAATAAGAAACTTTCTTAGTTTGTCCTCACTATCTACCTGTTCAGCATTTATATATTGACACATTTTTTAGTATTGAATCACTATAAAGTAGATACATTTGTTGATGGTTTATATGCGCCTTCAGTGAGATGAAAAGAAGAGCTTAAAATGTAACTCTCATTTTCTATGATTAAGATTTCTGTGAGCAATCATTTGTTACCAGAAATCATGAAATCTTGATGCTATCTAGAGTGATGTTTGTGCTGGCTTTAATTTTATCCTGTATTTTGATTTGTTCTCTCATAAATGAAATGATATTTTTCCAGATTCCACAGGAAAATGTGGGCCTCCTCCACCTATTGACAATGGAGACCTCACTTCATTCCCATTACCAGTATATCCTATGGGCTCATCAGTTGAATATCAGTGCCAATCCTTATATCAACTTGAGGGTAGCAAGACAGTAATATGTAGAAATGGAAAGTGGTCAAACCCGCCAAAATGTTTACGTAAGTACTTCAGTAATCTCATGGGACCTGGGAAAATCAGCGCCTTGAGTATGATACTTTTCTGTGTAAAATAGCAATAATTCACATATTAAAAAAGAAATATTCTGTGGAATGCTTCTCTACCAAATATTCATATGTGAGGAAATAAAGATTAATAAGTTACTTTTATTTTAAAATAATTAATAAATACAATTATATATATATATATATATAAATTTTTTATTAGCATGTAATAGTTGCCCTTATTAATGGGAGTCAGTGTGATATTTCTATATATGCATACACTCAGCATGATCATATCCAACCTCTATTTACCCACCCTATATCCCTTCTCAATGTTTATTGGTCACTATTCTACATTCAGGTCACCCTTTTTAATATTCCAGATATGAGAGAGAATATATGGGTCTTATCTTTCTGTGTCTGGCCTATTTTGCTTAACATAATGTCCTCCAGTTCTATCCATTTTGCTGTAAATGTCAAGAGCCAATTCTTCTTTGTAGCAGAATAATATTCCCTTGTGTAAATATACTACATTTTCTTTATAACCTCATCTATTGATAAACACATGTTCTCATTCAATATCTTAGCTACTGTGAATAACACTGCATGGGCATGCAGATATCCCTTTGGTATGCTGATTTCTTTTCCTGTGGATATGTACCCAGAAGGAGGATAGCTGGGTCATAGAGCATATCTAATTTAAGTTTTTTGAGAAAACTTCTGCTCTCTATAATGATCATACCAATTTAAATTCCCACCAAGAGAGTGTAAGTGTTCTTTTTCTCTCACATCGTCACAAACATTTACTAATTTTAGGGTTTATTGTTAATAATAGACTTTCTAACTGGAGCGATATGGTATCTCATTGTAATTTTCATCTTGATTTCCCTGATGGCTAATGACATTGAGTGGGTTTTTTTTTTTCATGTATTTTTGACTGTTTGTACTTCTTTGAGATATGTCTATTCACAAATCATTTGTCCAATGTTTAATTGGATTACTTGTTTTTAGTTTTTTAGTTTTTTTTGAGGTCATTATACATTCTAGGCATTAACCCTTTGTGAGACGCATAGCTGGCAAGTCTTTTTCCCATTCCATGGCTCGTCTCATTCTGTTGACTGTTTCTTTAGCTGTGCAGAAGGTTTTTCAATTTAATATATCAACTTTGTCAATTTTTGCTTTTGTTTCTTGTGTTTTTGTGGTTCTATCCAGAAAATTGTTGCTTGAACCAGTTTCTTATTTCTCCATATTTTCTCCTAGTAGTTTTAGAGTTTTCAGGTTTTACATTTAAGCCTGTGTGCATTTTGAATTTAATTTTGTACATGGAAAAAGGAATCAAGATTCAATCATCTGTATGTGGATATCCATTTTTAGCATCATTTATTGAAGAGGTGGTGCTTTACCAAATGTTTTCGTTTTTGGAAACTTTGTTAAGAATCAGCAGATATAGATGCATGGATATATCTATATCTATCAATCTATAAATACACATATATATGTATACACACATACAGAGAGAGAGAGAGAGAGAGAGAGAGAGAAGGAGAGTGTGTCTCTATTCTGTAGCATTGGTCATTGTATCTATTCTTATGCAAATACTATGCTGTTTTGGTTGCTATGGTACTGTAGTATGTCTTGAAATAAGTTATTGTGATGCTTACAGCCTTTGTGTATTTATTTTTTTTTCTCAAGATTTCATTAGCTCTTCAGGGTCTTTCGTGCTTCCATATGAATTTTAGAATTTTCTTCTCTAGTTCTGTGAGGAATATCTTTCATATTTTAATGGGAATGGCTTTTAACCTGTAAATTGCTTAAGGTATTATTGCTGAAGGAATATATGCTTAAGGTATTATTACCAGCACTAATTCTTCCGATCCATGAGCATGGAAAGTTTCTTATTTATTTTGTATCTTCTTCAATTTCCTTAATCAGTGTGTGGTAGATGTCTTTTGTTCTTTGCTGTTTTGTTTGCTGTTGTAAAGATTAGTGAATGAGATTGTTTTTATTATTTGGTTCTCAGCAGATTAATTATTGGTGTATAAAAATCTCACTGATTTTTGTATATTGATTTGTATCTTGCTACCTTAATGACTTTATCCATTCTAATAGTCTTTTGGTGGAATCTTTGGGTTTATATATATATATATATATATATATATATATATAAACATAACATCTGCAGACACAAATAATTTGACTTCTCTCCTTTCAATTTGTATGCCCTTTATTTCTCTTATTTCGCTATTCTGACTAAAATTTCTGGTACTTTACTGAATAAGAGCAGGGAGAACAGATACCCTTGTTCCTGACATTAGAGGAAATGTTTTCAACTTTTCTCATTTCCAGTATATTGCCTATGGCTATGTCTTGTATGGTCTTTATGATGCTGTGGTATGATCTTCCCAAACCTTATTTGCTCAGGACTTTTATCAGGAAGTGATATTGAAATTATTATTCAAATGTATTTTCTATGTCTATTAATCACATGATTTTTATTCTTCATTCTGTTAATGGGATGTATTATGTTTATTGATCTGAATATGTTGAACCATCCTTGCATCTCTGGGATGGAACCAATTTGATTATGGTGAATAATTTTTATGATTCTTTGTTGAATCACATTCAGATTTACTCATATTTTATTGAGAAATTTTACATCTATGTCCATCAGGTTATTAGTCTACAGTTTCTTTTATCTTGTGTTCTTGTTGCTATGGTACCGGGGTAATGCTAGCCTCAAGGAATGGGCTTGGAATGATTCTCTCTCTTTCAAATCTTCACAACAAATTTAAAAGAAATTGAATTAGTTCTTCTTTAAAGATTTCAAAAAATTAATCAGTAAAGGCATCTAGTCATGGGCTTTCCTCAACTTTTTATTACTGATTCAATCTCATTACTCATTATTGATCTCTTCTGGTTTATATGTTTTCATGATTTAATTTTGGCAGAATCTATGTGTCTAAAAATTTATAAATTCCTTCTAGGTTCTCTAATTTGTTGGCATACATTTTCTCATAATAATCCCTAATGACTCTTTGTATTTCTGAGGTATTGGTTGTAATGTCTTTTTTTTTTTCCATCTCTTATTTTGTTTGAGTCATCTCTTTTTCTTGGTTAGTCTCATTAAAGGTATGTTCATTGTTCTTACCTTTTATGATAACCAACTTTTTGTTTCTGAAAGAATGAACAAGGCTTGTTGTCAGAGAAAATGTCCATTTATTGAGGAACAGCTCTGCATATTTATAGAGCTGGGGGTGGTTTGACAATTATGACAGTTTAAAGGTTGAAGGGTTTGACAGTTGGCAGAGGTGCTTTCAGATTGGTGGGTAAGGATCATGTGGGTCAGCAGGGCTTGTCTGATTGGTGGGTAAGGATCATGTGAGCCAGCAGGCTAGTCTGATTGGTGGGTAAGGATCATGTGAGCCAGCAGGGCTAGCCTAATTGGTGGGTAAGGATCATGTGAGCTAGCAGGGCTAAGTCTGATTGGTGGGTAAGGATAATGTGAGCCAGCACGGCTCACCATTGTACGGCTCTTCTCAGGGGATGGGGAAGTTAGTCTTTTGAGCCAGGGCGACTCCCAACAGTTTCATTAGTCTTTTATACTGCTTATGTATGTGACGCCCTCTCTATCTTATACATTATATAACTGAAAATTTGTAGCATTTGACCAATATTTCTTTTCTTTTTTTTTTTTTTTTTTTTTTTTTGTGAGGCTGGAGATGGAACACAGGGCTTGTGCATGTAAGGCAAGAACTCTACCAACAGAGCTATATCCCTAGGCTTTTGACCAATATTTTAATAAAAGAAAAACCAGCCAGTCATGATAGTGCACTCTTGTAATCCCAAAAACATGGGATCCTGAGGCAGGATGATCACTATTTTAAGGCAAGTCTCAATAATTTAATGAGACCTTGTCTAACAATAATAATAAAAGAAAGGAATGTGGATGTAGTTCAGGGATAAAGTGCCCCTGGTTTCAATCTCCAGTCCAAAAAAGAAAAACAAGATCAGCCATGATACCATAATGGTTTTACACTCTAAAATGCCAAGCTCTTAATATGATAAATGATCTTAAGAATTGGTAATAAAATATAATTATCACAAATTAACCACCTAATTCTTACATCATTTACTACTTTAACTTTATTTTAATCTATCTGGTATTCACACAGAATTTGTTCAGGAAGAGTTTTCAGGAAGAATTTCTGAAATATTAAAAACATTCTACTTGAAAACTCCAAAGTCTTGGTAAAAGACTCATATCTAACTTAATATATTATACTCATTTATTTCTTTCAGATGCATGTGTAATATCAGAAGAAATCATGGAAAGATATCACATAACCTTAAGATGGAAAGAACATCAAAAGCTTTATTCTTCATCAGGGGACACAGTTGAATTTGTGTGTAAATATGGATATTCTCCATCAACGCGAAATCAATCATTTCGTACAAGGTGTATTGATGGTCACCTGGAATATCCCGCTTGTATTAAGAGATACTCTTAATTTCATTAAAATATGCACTTAAATTCAGAATTTTTATTACTAATCTAGTTTTCAATTTTATTTTAAAGTATTGTTTAACTCATTTTTATTCATAAATTAGAATTTGTGTTGATAGCTGCTAATGTGTTTAGAATCTGAGAGGATAGAGCCGCACATCTTAAAAGCACTGCATTCAAATTTGGCAAACCAAAGTACCATGCATCCTATTCATAAAACATCTATGCAAGAAATTAGATGCAATTACTTCCATGCTTGTCTGTGTCCCTCATTCTCCAAATTGAAAGTTTTCTACATAACTTTGGGGCTCTCTGAGACTCTGTTTCACAGTGCATGAAAAGATAGACTCTCCATCTTCAAAATTATAAAATTCAGAAAGATCTAAAAACCAAACTAAGTCATGACTTATTTTAGTAAAAAATATAATCAATTACTAAGTATTACTTATCCATAAGCAAATGTAAAAAGATGACATGTGAGCTTCTAAAATATATGAATCTAGTACATTTAACAATGTAAACAAATCATAAAGAGGAATAGAAGTTTAATTGGATATATAACTATAAAACTATCATAACTGTTACTATATAACTAGGGAAAAATGATTGGCAGAAAATGCAATAAAATCTGTAAAAACTATATTTATACTTAGAGTTAAGAGGATTGACTTGTTTAATTCCTTTAAAAAGACAGTCTCTAAATTATGAGACAGTCTCTAAATTTTTTATTTTTTTACTTTACAGTAGTATGAAAGTGATGTGTATTCATTAGAAATTGTACTTTAATCTTTTTTCTGCAACTAGAAATACATGGTAGACTACTTTTATGGTATTGGGTAACAGCAGTTAACCACATCCAATTGGCATTGTGATTAACAAAGTAAGCAATCACTATACTACAGAGTACTGTTCTGCTAAGCTATGATATATGATAGGTTGGTATATTAAATGCATGTTCAACTTAAAATAATTTTAATTTATCATGAGTTAATCAGGATGTAACACCATTCTAAGTTGAGGAGTATCAACATTTATTATATTGTACAATTTTTCAACCTTTAATATACTCAGTTTTGAACTTTAAGAATAAGTTGTTTTAAGACAATAATGCCTAAAAAGCTAGGTGATAATGTGGAGAAATATAAAGGCCTTATTGGTAATGATCTCAAGGTCAAATAATGCTTTAATAAGTTTTTGTTGCAAGAATTTTTTTTCTGTTTTTAGAATTTCAGTAACAAGATTTTGAAGTGTAATTTTATGTCTTTACATTTTAGACAGCACTATTTAGTTAAAATCACTTTGGCTAGAAACATTTTTGATTTTTAAAAAGCTATAATCTTAGGATGAAAATAGAGATAAAAATATACAAAACTTAAAGGTGATAAATTGTTACCTCTTATTGCATAAAATCATAAGGCTTATATTAAATGCTTTCCTCTTGTTTGAGATCCTGATTTAGATAAATTGAGTTGAGACAGATTTTCAATTTCAATGAAATTGGTTACAATAAGCAAGTAATCCTTGTGTTTAATATTAACACCTGAATATACTTAACTCAGTTCCATTGTGCCACTATAACAAATATAATTTGTTCAGTGTGGCTTATTTTTAAAAGACATATCTTTCATACAGTTCTTGAGGTGTCCAAGATCAAGGCACCAGCTAACTTGGTGTCACAGGAGGGCTTATTCTCTGTTTTGCACATGGCGTCTTCTCACTAGATGAAACTAACTAGGTGGAAGTGGCAAGGAAGTGCTCTAGCCTTTCCTTGTAAGGGCACTATTTCTACTCTTGAGGATGGAACCCCATCACCTATTCACCTAAAAAGACTTCATCTTCTAATATGCTCACTGTGGTCACTAGGAATGAAACAGTGACATTTAGGGGGACACAAACATTCAGGACATAGAAGAGAATAGGGAAGGAAAAAGACAGTCCATTCCACAGAACCAAAAGGCAGTAGTGGTGTTTACAATTCAATTTCACAGAGGAATTCAGCCAAACATTGTAAGACAGAGATAAAAGAAGTTCATTATATACACACACACACACACATTCTTTCCAACATGGGAGAACCTAAATATAAAAAGCAAATGTTAATAGATCTTGAGGGAGAAATAGATTGCAAAATAATAATAATAGTTGGGTGCTTCCATACTCCATCTTTAATACAATAGATAGGTCATCCAGATATAAAATCAATAAGAAAACCTTGTACTTGAGCTGTATGTTACACCAAATAGACCTAACAGATATCCATAGAATATTCTACACAATAGCAGAATACACATTATTCTTAGGGCATACACAACATTCTCCAAGATAGTTTATATGTTATGCCACAAAACAAATTTGAAATATTTAAGAATGCTGAAATTATATCAAGTATCTTTGCCAAATAAAAGCACGAAACTATAAATCAATAACAGGGAATGTTGATATATTCACAAATATATAGAAATATATGAATGACATCCTCCTGACCTTCTAATAGTTCAATGACAAAATTGAAAGAAAAATTAAATGACACTTACAGACAAACATCAAAACACAGCATACTAAAACATATAAGGTGCAGAAAAGGAATTTTGTAAGGGAAATAAGTATATAACTATAAATGCCTACATGATTTAGATCTCAAATAAATAATAAAGCTTCAAACTTTATACCTCAAAAAACTAGAAAATGAAGAAGTAACTAAATTAAAGATATTAAGAGGGAGGAAATAAAGATACACACACAAAAAAACAATATTAAGAAGATACTCAGAAAACACTATTAAGCATCAACAAACCTAAAAGTTGATTTTTTAACCAATAAACAAAATTGATAAAAGTTTAGCTAGACAAATATGGAAGTAAATAAATTTCAAGGTGAAGAAGAAACATTACAGCTAATAGCACAAAAATACAAAATGTACTACAAATTCTCGTATGAAAAATTATACCCGCAATTTGGATGACCTAGAAGAAATGAATCTTTGTAGAAAGTTGCAACCTACCAGGACTGAATCACAAATAGAAAATCCCAACAGACTGCTAATGAGCAAGGAGTTTGAATTAGTTATTAAAAATTCTTTTATGAAAGAAAAGCCCAGGACCTGATAACTTTACGCCCAGGACCTGGATGAACCCAACTCCCTTGTATAACTATAAAGCTTTAAAAAAAAAATAACATGCATCCTTTTCATGTCCTTCCCCAAAAAATGGATGAGTAGTAAGCACTTCCAAATTCATTTATGAGGCCAGCATTATCTTGACAAAAAAGCCACACAAGTATACTATGAGAAAATTATAACCCAATACACCAGATGAATATCCCTGGTGAATAGAAATCCAAAACTCCTCAATATAAGATGAATTCAACAGCACACTTAAGGGATCATAAGACTCGCTCATCTGTGATTTATTTCTGGGACTCAGAGATGGTTCAATAAATACCAGTCATTAAATATTACCCATTACATTAATAGAATAAACTTTTAAAATCATTATTATTCAATAGATGGGAAAAAAGCAACATCATTTGATAATAAAAACACTCAAAAAAATTGGCATAGAAGGAGTTATTCCAAGACAATAAAGGCCATATACAATTTGAATAATCCTAATCCAAAAATCCAAAATCTGAAATGCTAATACTTCTGAAACTTTCTAGATAATAATGCCCAAATTGGAAAATTCCACATCATGATTCTTTGCCTCATGCACAAAATTATTTGGAGTGTGCATATAACTATTTTTGGAAAATATTTATGTAATGAATATGAAAACCAAATGAGTTTTGTGTTTAGGCTCAGGTCCCACCCCAGTGTATCATTATGTATATATAAGTACTTCAAAACAACAACAAAAATGTGGTCCCAAGCATTTGTAATTAGGGATATTCAACTTACATTAGCAGTCTACAATTGGTATCATACTAAATGGTTACATGTTTAATACTTTACCTCTAAGATCAGGACTAAGGCAAGAATATCTACTGTCTTAGTCCACTTTCATTTGCTATCATAGAATACCTACGATTGGGTAACCCTAGCATCCTCTGCTTGCCCCCAAATTCATGTCTTTCTCACACACAAAATAACATTCTTTTCATCTCAATAGTTTCAAAGTTTTCACTTCCTTCAGCATCAACTCAAAAGTTCCAAGTCCAAAGTCATTTAAATTGAATAAGGGTGAGACTCAAAGCCTAAATCATTCTAAGGCAAATTTTCTATAGCTGTGAACCTATGAAACTAAAACAAGTCATCTCCTTCCAAAATACAATGGGAAAACTGATACAGGATAGACATTTACTTTCCAAAAAATGGAGAAATAGGTGGGAAGAAAGGAGTAACAGGCATCAAGTTCAGTCCTCAAGCTACAAAGTAATCTATTTAATTCCATGTCTTGCTGATTGGAATCAGCAAGGAGATTGGAATCCCCAAGGAGTTCAACTTGATAGTCCTGTGGTTTCGTTGAGCTTAGCCCATGCTTCAGCCCTGTTGCACTGATGTGGTCTACAGTTCTGGGGTTTTGGGCAACAGTCCCTATCCCAAACTTGCCTCTATACTACCATAATGAGAACTGTCTGTGATAGCTCTGCTCCCATGATTTCATTAGTCAGTGCCCTAGCATGTATTCTGTGTTGTTTCTAGCTCTGACCCCACACTTCTGCTTAGCATTGTCCTAGTGGGAGCTCAATGTGCTGGTTCTGTCCCATTAAAAGTCTCTGCCTGAGCCACTGGGTATGACCTTGAAATCTAGGAGGAGACTGCCAAACTTGCATAGCTCTTTGCAGACCTTCAGAATAAATTACTTTCATGTGAATGCTGCCAAAGTTTATGGCATGTACCCTCTGAAGGAGTGTGTCTAGCCGTAACTTGAACTTTAACAGGGTATCCCCTTCTAGAAGTTGTCCTTGGCAAGATCACTCACTTTCTTTTCAAATACTTTAGTACCTTCTCCCTGAAAATCAAAGGAAGATCAGTAGAATAGAGAAAAAGAATCAGGGGGAGGAAAGAGGGAAAGGAAAAGGGAAATACTGGGGAAA